ACTTTATATCTACATTATACATGTGAATACATGTTGTACACTTTATACATAACATATTAATTATATATTGTATATTTGATACATATATATATTCAAATATACATAATATGCTTACAATATTTTTAAATGTCATTTTAAACAAAACAAAACAAAGTATTAACATCAAAATAAATAACATTAGCAATAAAGTACTAACATTAAAATCCCATAAAGTATAAAATACTAACAGTAACATTTATAAACATTTAAAATTCGTAAATATTAAATAAAATACTGCATATAAAAGTTTTATCAACAAAATTAGTTCAATACTAAATAAAAATGATACTGACGCAATTAAAATTGCGCTATTAACAATTTCACAGAAAGGTCAGTTTATGAATAAATTGAAGTTGGTGATTTTTAACGTAGCGGGTTTCGTTTTACACGATAAAAAAGTAAACTGGATCGACGTCACTGGAATTCGGAACCTGTTGATCGTGGCGCGAGACATTTAACGGCGAAATACGAAAAATCGGTTGATCGCGATCGAGCAGCCGCGTTCCTTCAGAATTCTCCTTGAACGCAAAATCGGCCATATTAGCCGAGTTCCTTTCACCAAGCGTCGCGACGCAGCGAAACGACGAACTATCCGTTGCCCGGCGCACTTTTCTTTTGCATCGTTCAGAACCTTGTTACGTTTATGGCGATCATGTGTCCCCTTTTTTCCGACCGTTTATTCACTGACTAATTGCACAGATTTATTGCTGAATCCTGAACATGCGACGTCGCACGTTTTCACAAAACTTGGATCACTGATGAAATTTTGAGGTTAACCTTGCTTTCAAGTTTGATGTATAATTATTATTATATGTTGTTAAAATTATTATTATTTACTTGGAGAAATTGTAAATGAGTCTATTGCATAATATTTTGCTGGCAAAACTTAACATAACCTAACCTAAGCATTATAATATGTTATTACTTATAGGTTATTAAATTTATTATTTGCTTGGAGGAATTGTAAATGAGTCTATTGTATAATATTTTGCTGGCAAAACCTAACCTTACCTAACCATTATTATATGTTATTAAATTTATTATTATTTGCTTGGAGCAATTGTAAATGAGTCTATTATATAATATTTTGCTGGCAAAACCTAACCTAACCTAACCTAACCTAAGCATTATAATATGTTATTACTTATAGGTTATTAAATTTATTATTATTTGCTTGGAGGAATTGTAAATGAGTCTCTTGTATAATATTTTGCTGGGGAAACCTAGCCTAACCTAACCTAACCATTATTATTTATAGGTTATTAAAATTATTATTTACTTTAAAAAACTATAAATGAGTGTATTATACAATATAGTGTTATTAATATATGATTAATTGATTAAATTGATTTTGAATTATTTAATTGTTCATATTAAATTGACATTATTTAAAATATTTAGGTATTAAATTTACTGCGTGGATATTAATTAATTGTTCGATTATAGCGACGTTATTAGAATTATTTTATTATTATGTTGATATCACTTAATTGTCAAGTGAAATCGATATCGTCTAAATAATTTAATCATATAATTATTTGGCTGAGGTTAATTATTAATATATTAATTATAAATTGATATTGATCAGAATATTTAATCATTTAATTGTTGATACACGTCGATACTATTCTAACAATTTAATTTTTTAATTACATTTACATTGATATTATTAAATTGTTAAATTCTTAAATTGTTAAATTGTTAAATTACTAAATTATTAAATTATTAAATTATTAAATTATTAAATTAAATTAATATTGATTGAATAATTAAACACTTAAGAATTAGTCGAAAAATTTCACCATTATATTTTTCTATATATTTGAAAATACTGAAACATACTTATGTTAATTAATAATTTTACATAAGTAACTGTTGATCCTTCAGGATTAAATATTGCAATGCTCGGATATATTACATAAAGTACACGACGGTGGTGTTACATAACGAGTATAATGAGTAGAACGTTCAGTAATACCAGGGGATATGTGGAGTAGAATTCCATTTGAATACTGACTGCAATCATTTTATAACCTCTTAATGCTGAAAGTATACTATAATCTATAAAATATTAGTCATTCACTTCTTATGACATTCTACACTATAATAACGCAAATTATTTCTTTGCCAATTATGTTATGTTATTACTGTGCTATTAGTATATTATTATATGTTGTTACCATACTTATTACCATAAATGTTATTACTATACTCATTACCAGAAATGCTATACTAATACTATAATTTTATTATATTTTTACTATATTATTGTTATGTTATTTCTAAATTATTACACATAGACTATTACTCTACTTGTTAGTACAAATACTATACTAGTACTATAATTTTATTATATTTTTGTTACATTATTACTATATCTTTACTTTATTATATCTTTATTATATTATTACTATATTTTTACTATATTATTGTTATGTTATTTCTAAATTATTACACATGTACTATTACTATACCTGTTAGTACAAATACTATACTAGTACTATAATTTTATTATATTTTTGTTACATTATTACTATATCTTTACTTTATTATATTTTTATTATATTATTACTATATTTTTACTATATTATTATGTTATTTCTAAATTATTATACATATACTATTACTATACTTACTAATACAAATACTATACTAGTACTATAATTTTATTATGTTTTTATTATGTTCTTACTATATTTATATTATGTTATTTCTGAATTATTATACATATACTATTACTATATTTACTAATACAAATACTATACTAGTACTATAATCTTATTATGTTTTTATTATGTTATTACTATATGTTTACTACATTCTTATTATGTTATTTCTATATTATTATTCATATACTATTACTATACTTACTAATACAAATACTATACTAGTGCTACTATACTAGTAATTTTATTATATGTATTTTTGTTATGTTATTACTATATTCTTATTGCTACCATTACTATGTTACTTCTATATTATTATGTATTATCACTATACTTATACTACTCTTACAATATTACTATACTTACTTCTAATGATGATATATTATTAAAATATCATCACTGCGTTATTTATATATTATTATAAACTACTACTATACTAATTGCTACTAATGTAAAATTATCATTATATTATTACCACATGATTACTATCAATATGTTATTACCATATGTATTACTATATACTGTTACTATACTTATTACTACTAATTTTATTTTTACTACTTTCAACCCCACTATTATATTATACTACTATACTACCTCATGTGTATACTGTTCGCCTATGTCACTATACTATCCCACAACTATACTACTACTATACTATATTTCTTTACTACAATGCTTTTATTTCACTGTTCCACAATTCTACTATTTTACTATTCTGTTTAAATGGACAAATTCCTTATTACAATACTACTATACTACTATAGTATGCTACTCTGCTACTATACTATTGTACTACTACCTCCGTTAATCATCTAATTCTATAATACCGTTCTAAACTTCCACTACACCATTATGACAATATCATAACAATACTATAATCATTATAATATTATTTTGTTCTATTACTATACTACTATTGTCTTATTCCAATGTTTCATTGCGTTACTATATTGTTACATGACTGCTGTACTGTTTTCTTTAAGCGCAAATGCTTATGCATCGGGTTCTAGTGTGGTCACAGTATGACTCAGACCCGACTTTATGAGAGGGAAGGTCTGACTAAACGTTTCATCATACTTTGAGATTTGTTACTATAACCAACGAGATGAGTGCAGCAGTAGTATAGTAATATAGTGAAATATTAGCGTTGCTGTATAATATAATACAATCATTGGTGTAGATAAATAGTAGAGTAACAAAATAATGGAATAATGTGACGTTAAAATAGTGGAATAGTGAATAGGGAAATAGTGGAATAGTGGAAGGATGGAATAGTAAAATTATAGATTGGAAGAATAGTAGAATAGTTAAATACTAGAATGGTGGAATAGTAGAATAGTGGAATGCCAGAATAGTAATATTGGACAATAGTGAAATAGTAAAACGGTACAAAAGTGGAATAGTAAAATTGTAGAATGGTAGAATAGTAGAATTCTAAAGTGGTGGAATAGTAGAATAGTAAAATGATGGAATAGTGAATGTTAGTATAGTAAAGTGGTGGAATAGTATTATTGAAGAATAGTGAATAGTGGAACAGTACAAAAGCGAAATAGTAAAATTGTAGAATGGTAGAATAGTGAAATACTGCAATGATGGGATAGTAAAATGTTGGAATAGTAGAACAGTGAATAGTAGAATAGTGAATAGTAGAATAGTGAATAGTGAATAGTAGAATAGTAGAATAGTGAATAGTGAATAGTAGAATAGTAGAATAGTAGAATAGTGAATAGTAGAATAGTGAATAGTAGAATAGTGAATAGTAGAATAGTGAAATAGAGTAGTGAAATAGTAGAATAGTGAAATAGTGGAACAGCGGAAAGAAGAATAATGAAATATTAGACTAGTAGATTTAACAAAATATAAAAATAGTAAAATACCGAAACAGTAAAATGATAAAATAACAGAATACTGAAACATTGTAATAACGCAGTAGAAAAATAGTAGAATACCAAAATAATAAAACAAGAATCTGAAACAATAATAAAAGAGTAAACTGATACCAACAAAACTTCTTCAGGTTAAGTTAGGTTACATCACAACTTTCTTATATATAACCTAACCAATTTCATTACTATTCTTTCATCCCACCATGAACCTTCTTCCAATAAAAAAGTATGCTACAGATGAATTCAATCAGTTCTGCGAAAATGCCAGACAAGAATTCATTAACCCAATTATCACAAATTCCTTTAAAAAACAGTAGACTCTTAGCTTGTATACCCATCATATTTTCCTAACACCTGTGCCACATAATCAAATTATGACCTAACCGATACCATTTCCTGTTTGCAGAATGAGGGAGTACGTCGAAGAGAACGAGAAGACTGACCCGCTGATACACGCGCCCGACAAGAAGAACAATCCCTGGGCCGAGAAAGGCAAATGCATAATCATGTAATCAGGACGTAGAACCGCAACCGGGTAGGGGAGGAGGCGAAGAGCATCAGAAGGCACCATCGGCAGAGACAAAAAAAAGAAGGAGAAGAGGTCGGATCGTTTAGCGGCGGTCGAAGAAAAACCGAGAGAAACTATAAAACCAAACCAAAAAAACAAAAGACGTATAACAAAAAGGATAGAACAATGAGGAGGAAGAAGAAGAAGAGAAATCGCGAGATGGCTGCGACGGAGTTGTGCAATGCTCGACCGAACGGTTGGATCAGGAAGGAGCCAAGTGTCGTTCGCGAACACCAAAAACGAATAAGGAGGAGCGAGGCTGACGCGGAGGAGAACCAAAGTAGCTGGAGCAAATTATTCAACAATCTAATTCTTCGTGGTTACCTGTTCGTAGTAACTTTCCCGTTTGGCATGCAAAGTAACGAGCGGCTGGATTGAACGGGTCGTTTTCTTCGTCTTTCTAATCTCAGGTTGAATCTCGCGTCTCGAGCAACGCCAGAAGTATACTGTGCGCAGTGGCGTAACTAGGTGGGGGGCTGAAATGGGGCTACGAGCTAATGTGGAAATATGTCACCTGATTAGGTAACGTGGTTATATAACGCGTGGCGATATATCGCGAGGATATTCAACAAATGTTACGCAATGTTTTATAACGAATGACGATATATTGCGTTGGTATACTGTGCACGATGTTACTTGAGACCATATAACGCGCGGCGATATATCGCGAGGATATGCAACAGATGTTATGCAAGGTTTTATAACGAATGACGATACATTGCGTTGGTATTGTGCACGAAAATGTTACGGGAGACCATATAACGTGTGGCGATATATCGCGAGGATATGCAAGTGGTAATGTTACGCGGGGCTATATAACGGATGATGATATATTGCGTGGGTATACTGCGCGTGGTAATATAACGTGAGACCATATTGCGTGGCGATATATACCGCGGAAATATAACAAGTCATAATGCTACGCGGGGTCATATAACGGATGATGATATATTGCGTCGATATACTACACGTTATAATGTAATATGTGGACGTATAACAAGTGGCGATACATCGCGTGGCCATATATTGCGCGGATACAAGAGGAACTGTAACGCAGGGCTATACAATAGATGGTAATATGCAGATATACTACGCGTAATAATGTAGCGTGTGACCATATAACAAATGGCCATATATCGCGAGAAGGATGCAAGTCTTAACGTCACGCGGGGTTATATAAGGGATGGCGATATATTGCGAAGATATACGCGTGATAATGTAACGTGTGATCGTATAACACGTGGCCATATACTGCGTGGCTATATACGGCGATATTTCGCGTGGATGTACAACTGGTAATGTAACGCGGGGATATGTGACGCGTGATGATATGTTACATTGGTGAACTACGCGTGATAGAGTGGTCATATAACGAGAGGTCATATATTGCGAGGATGTACCCCTAATGTGTTGAGTGGCCATATAACGGAAGACGGAGCTTTACAATACGTGATAATGCCATACGATGAATGACCATATGTGTAGGTGTACAACGCGTGGTAATGTAACGTAAAACGATATGTTGCCTGACGTGATACGTGACGATATAACAAGGTGTACGACGCCTGTAAGGAGTAGCTATCTAACGTGTAACGATATATGCGTAGCTATACAACGCATGACCATATAACGTGTAACGATATATTGCATGAGTATACATATTGAGATCTAACATATACAATGAATGGCGATAAAACGCGTGTCGATCTAATGGGTGGTGATCTTACCATTCTGACATATGAAGAACTGAAGCGTTTACAAGTGGTTACCTAACGCACGACTGTACAATATGTGAAGATGTAACGCGTGTCTATATATACACGTGACGATATATAACGTGTGGCGGTTCAACGGATGGTGATATAACGCGAGATAAGACAACACGTAGTGATCTAATGCGTTGTGATACAACGCGTGGTGATCTAACGCGTTGTGATGTAATGCGTTGCGGTACAACGCGTGGTATACTAACACATAACTATACAATATGTCGAGATCTAACGCGTTGCAATATAACGAGAGGCGATCTAATGTGTGGCTGTATAATATGTGGAGATTATACAGCTGGTAATAGAACGCAAGACGATGCACTGCGTGAATATATAAAATTTGCAACAATCTACCACACTGCGATTTAACGCGTGGCGATATAACACGTGGTAATCTAACGCGTAGTTACACACTATGTAAAGATTCAACGTATTGCAATTCAACGAGTGGCTATGTAACGTGTGGCTGTACAACGCGTGATGATCTGACGGATGGCTATATAACGCATATGCAATCTAATGCGAGGAAAATTAACGCGTGGCTATTCAATGGATTTGCGTAATTATTTAATGGGTGGCGATATAACGCTCGGTAATTTACCGCAGGGCCACATAACACACGGCGATATAACGCGTGGCCATATATCGCGTAACAACATAACGCACGGTCGTACAACTTGTAGTCGTTTGACACACGGCGATATAACGCGTGGTAATGTAATGGACGGCGATATAACGCGTGGCTATATAACGTACGGCGATATAACGCGTGGCCATATATCTCCTAAAAATATAACGCACGGTTGTACAACCTGTAATCGTTTGACACACGGCGATATAATGCGTGGTTATATAACGTATGGTGATATAACGCGTGGCTATATAACGTACGGCGATATAACGCGTGGCCTTATATCGCGTAACAATATAACAAACGGACGTACAACCTATAATTTGACACACGGCGATATAACGCGTGCTTATATAATGTACGGCGATATAACGCGTGGCTGTATAACGTACAGCGATATAACACATAATGATTGAATGTACGGCGATATTACGCGCGGTGATCAACTCGTAGCTCTAAAACCCACTGTAACCAAATTCGCCACAGTTTTACGCGTGGCGATATAACGCGAGTCGGCTCGAAAACGGCTCCCTAAAGATCCTAGTTACGCCAATGATTGCGCATCGATATTAATTGGTTTGACTTTCACATCGTTGCGTCCGTCTCTCTTCCTCGCTTTTTTTTTTTACCTTTTAAGTTTCTCTTTGTATATTGCATGACAGCGAGTAAATACACTTCTTAAGCGAAGATTACGTGAATGTATTCTCGAATGACAACAAAAGGGCGACCATTTCGAAGCAACAGTAAGGATGAAAATTGAATGGAAGGAAAATAAACGAAGACCAAACGGAAAGTATGCAGACAGGAACAAGATCGGCCTCGGCTCCGTATACCACTTCCGCCTCGTCGTTGTTCCGAATCGATTTATAAAACGATCGATAACGCGTTATGCGTCATATACACCGTGTGCAATTTCGAATCTAGTACCATGAAAACTCTTTTGAACCGTTCATTATATCGTAAGGATTATTTATTCTTAAGTACACAGTGTAATCTAACGTCATTCTATGTACACACGTTATACCATATGTCGTACGATTAATATGCTATGCATATTTCTGCGAATTTCTTACGGAAAATATAATATATTCACATCGTTTAATGCTTTCTTCTATTTCGCGTACAATACCCCCTTTTTTATCATCATCGCTTCATAATTCAAAATTTTTATATTCGGTGTTTATTTTTAACATTTTGAAATTCACTAAACTGATAATCGAACACTGTTTCGTAAGATGCTCTGAATCGCCAGACTCTATAAAACAGATGTTATAAATACAGTAAACAGGTTCTGCTAAAATTAAGCAATTCACAGAAACTGGAGTCGTAATTTAATTCAATTATGAAACGATTTCTGGCTAGTTTCAAAACGACCCATAAAAATCTTTATAATTCTTAGTAATAATAGTTTGGAGCTTTTATTTGTTGAGGGAAGAAAAATTATGCTTTGAAATGTAAACTCGTATGGAAGTACCGGAGGAATTTATCGATACAACATCAATGATCGATACTGTTTCCCCCGTTATTTTGTAACGCATGTGAGAACATTTTCATGGCAAGCAACTGTTAAGCATAAACGCAGTAGACTTTCTATATTTTTTCACGGTACGACATTGCGATGTAAATACGCTAACGATTATTATGAAAGACTTAAAAGCTTTCTTATTCTGCGAACGGGCTCAAATATTTCTAATGCCTGGAGAACGTTCCATTCATGGAAACGTGAAATGCTAAATTTTCTTATCATTTTTATGTAACGTTATCTATAGTGTTACATGCTTGCATTTTTGTTGAGTGACGTTATCTATCAGATTACATGGTTGCATTTTTGGTATGTGACGTTATGTATCATATTACGTAATTGTATTTTTGTTTTATGACGTTGTCTGTTGTATTCCATAACTGTAGTTTTATTTTTGACAGGCTGTGTTTAACTTTTATTGGTGTACTATGTTTCATGTTTTTAAGTTCTTTGGACTGCTATTTTTCTAAATATTAGAATTGGCAAATTTATATATTGCCAAATTTCTAAATTTTTGAATAGTTACTTTAGGAATTTTTCAAATTTTCAGATTTCTACATTTCAAAATTCTCAAATTTTCAAATTTCTACATTTCAAAATTCTCAAATTTTCAAATTTTATAATAAAAAATTTCCATGTTCCTAAGTTCCCAAATTCCCAAATTCCTAAATTTACAAATTTCCAAATCCTAAATTTACATTTCTAAATTTCTAAGTTATTACTATTTATCAGTTATTATGCATATTTATTATTATTTACTACATGTTACATTATTATTATTTATTTGTATTAAAATTTTATTACTATTTATTATTTGTTATACTTTTACTGTTATATGTTGCTTACATATTTGTAATAATTTATTACTTATTATATATTTATTAATATTTATCAATTATTAAGTATTCATTATTCTTGATTACCTGTTAAATTTGTAGTACTATACATAACTTGTTATATTTTTATTATTATCTATTATAGAACTATCTTTAAATAAAGTACGCTTATGTATAATTTTGTTATGTGCATAAATTTCATATTCGTTAAATATTTTAAAGTATAATAATTTTTCAATATTTATATTAGTTATAATATTATTATTCTAATTATCCTGTTAGTTACAATGTCAGTTAAAATGTTATAATTCAAAGAATAATTAAAACAATTATTTATTATTTCTACTATTTCTTACTTATATTTTTAGTTTTATTTATTATTTACTAAATTCTTATTATTGTTAACTACTTGTTATATTTTTATTTATTATAAAATAAACTTCAAGTAAAAACATGTTTACTTATCATTTTTCTATAAATATAACTTTGTTATATACATGAATAAATAAATACAAGAATAGAGATATTTGGACAGTTTCCTAAACGTTACTAGCATCCTACAAAGTTCAAAGTTGCACATTCGTGTTGCTTTGCCGTTGAAGAAACCGGTTCGCAAATCCTGCGGTCCACTTCTTACCAGACGCATTTGAATTTAATTTGCAACTGGTCATATAATAAATCAATCGGGATACGAATGGATATTCCGACTTTTCCAAGTTTCTGACTTTTAAACGGATGTATTAAGACTGGTAAAACATGTGATATATCCCACGCAACTGGACTAAGGTATTAATACAAAATGGCGGAGAATGGAGGAAAAATTCATTCGCTCTTTTGTCATATATGTTCATTCCTTTCAAGAGAGTCTGTTGGAAAGAATATTATCATCATTTTTATTATTGTTATTATAGTAGAATGTCGGTAAGATTGCAATTAAAACAATTTCGAGTTAGTCACCAATATGATTTTGAAAAATGGCGGGAAACTATTTCCGAATACTTTTTAACTACCATTATAATTTATCAAACATTATTCATTGTAATTTAAAAAACTAGAGTACTGATCGCGTTAGAATATTTCCAATGCTTCCCAAACAATTTAATAATCAGAAATAGAAATATTATTTATTTCTTTCTTCATTATACTAGAATCAGGAGTTTCCAATACTTTTTCTCGTCACTGTATGTTTCTCTAGCGTCTTACATGGTATTTACCTTCAATTTAATCTCATGTAAAGTTTGACGCGATAATACACTGGTTCACACATAAAACACATTATGCTTCAATATTAATTATCCACACGAATTCGAACGAGTAAAGTTTCGAGAACCTACCATAAACATATAGATAGAACAGAAACGGAATGCAGAGATGTTAAAGTCGTTCCAATCGATTAAACGTGTCTGAAACTATCGAAAACAATACCAAACACGATTATTCTTCATTTCAATACGACCGACGTCAACGATCACCAAGTATCGTCGCCAATAATAAGCTACAGAGCTTTTAACGTGCTTCCAGTTAATTCTACTTGTAAAAAATTATCAAAAACGATAATTTAGTGTGTCACAAGTCTACCCTAAAAATTTCAAGTGAAAAAACTCAGAATTGCAACCTGTAGCATACAAACGAACGAATAAATGCAAATCGAATCGTAACAGAAACTAAATACGTCAAAATTACCGTACTTCCAGATATCGTTACCTAACCCCCTCACTCGCATAGTATTAAACGCAACGTTCCTCTTAGCTGTTCACATACTTGTTCAATCAAAATCACCAACAGTATTCCAAACATGCTTCACTTCCTTCACCGATTCAACGCCGGTCTATCACCCGTCTATTCCCAACGGAACGCTCATGCGTGTACATAATCGCGTACACCGCTCTAACTGTACACAAAATGAAAGGTGCGTTTAATTGTTTCCAGGCGGACAATGTTGACACCATGGTTTTGCTGCACTATTTCCCCCCATAACGAATTTTACTAATATAGAACTGTACGTCGACTTTGAGCGCCTCATGGCGGCGAAATACGAACTATGGTGGTCCTCGTCTCTCTTACGTCACTCCATGGCGGAGAGACAAGGACAGTGGCAATTTCAAGAATATACGAGGTAGCAAAATTTTCTTACTTAAAATTTTTTCCATAAAGATTTTTTATCAAATTTTTGTTTAAAGACGAGAATGATTTAAATGTATGAACTTTATTAGTTTGAAATTTCCATAACGTTAGCAGAATTTTGAATCTGGAGATTTTGAGAATACTCGAGAAAACGTGTCTTAAGATTGCTGTCCCTCGCAGCTGATGTTCGTAATTTGGACACCGAAAGAAAGCAGGAAAATGGATAGAAACGAGGCTACAGAAAGGAGCTGCTGGAAGAAGGGAGTTGAAACATTCGTACTAGCTATATAGCAGAGAAACCAAAGTGTTTGTGCGTGAAAGAGAGGGGGAGAATGACAGGGGGCTCTGGTTCACTACGGTCAGTGCTTTCTGAACTGTTGTCAGTGACAGTTCTGCCATCATGTGGCGGTGGATCCTCGATCATTGATTCGTATCGATCACGCTTCTTCGTTTTTTCCACTTCGGTTCCACTTTGGACACTTGTTTTTGCCACATTCGATCGCTAGTTTCCCGCTCGAGCGCGGTCCGACGCGTTTTTTCGTCCACGATCTTGGTGCTACTCTGGGAACGTTACGCTTGCACGAAAAACTAGACGGATCATGGTGAGTGCGATCTTGAAATATGCGCTATTTTCTTTGCGAAACTGTCGTATCGTGGAAAACGAACGGGAAGAAACGAGAAAAACTTTGGAGACTCGCGATTTACTCCTCGAGTTTTCTCAAACGGTTGGGGTGTTTTTAATGATGGAAGTTTATTTTACGGTTAATATTCATTTTATACGCACAAGAATTTGTGTTAAATTTATGGATTTAGGACACATTTTTAAATTTATAGAGGATTTATGTATGAATATATTTTTAAGTGAAATTATAATCTGTATGGAAATATAGTAAATTTTAGAAGTTCATGTATAAATATAAAATTGGAAATTCAAATTATAAGTGATAATGATTTATGATTTATATATGATTTATATACAAATATAGAATGTTTTAGAAATCTATAAATGATTTATACAAAACTAAAAAATATTTAATTAAATTTATAAATGATTCATATATGAACGCACTTTAAATGTCTCAAAGCTAGATATGAAACTTTTACTTTTCACAAATGATTTATACACACAATTTATTTAAAAATTAAAATGTTGACTTGTGAAAAAAGCCAGTTCATCAAAGTTTGAAGTCGATTGTATGACTTTTTTCAAACCCATAGTTTGCGGTTTTCGAAAAGAACACTTTTTAGTATTCATTTTTCGTTTCTTTTCAACACGAGCCGGCTCCGTTTTCAAACTCGTTTTATTTTTTCCATTCGAACGATATTACATCACGCGTGGATTCATGTAAGACCACCGTGGAACCGGTCTGAAAAGAGATCGATTCGGAAAGGATTAAAACATACATCGAGATCGTGACAGGGTTGTGTCATTCTTTTTCCTTCTTCTTTTTTCCACCTTCGTGGCCAGACTGATAGGACGATATTTCGGCCATTTAAGCCGCGTGTCGATACCGAGCGAATTTGACAACTGAAACGTTTTGACGTGCTGCACGCAAAAAGTGCTGAATATAATTGCATCATTTCTGGGCATTGTAATTCAGAGGATTTTTTGTACCGTTGCAAGGTTTTTTGAAAGGAACTGGTGATTTTTAGTGACTTTTTGGATTCTTTTATTTGGCGGTGCATTAATTGCATAAATGATGTACGTTTTATTAAATATGACTATATCTTTTAATTTTGCAGAAGTAGGTAAATATTAACTATTATTAATATTAAATATTAAAAATACTAATTTTACATATTTGTTAAATATTTGTAGAAATTATTTTTGTTGGTGGTTTTTATGAAGGGTTGTTACATATTAGATGAGAAGTAATATTTATACAGTTTATTAAAAAAAATTAAAATTAATTTGCAAGTTGTTAAAATCAAGGATAAAATATTATAAGAACAATTTTTTATAATATAATACTAGTTTTATTTATTTATTTGTCTAATAGTTATAGAAATTATTTTAAGGGATCTTTACTATGTGTTACATTATTTTACAATTTTTTAAAAAAGATAGACATAATAACAATTCTTGTAATGCAAAATTACCTTCAATTGTTTGTTAGACTTTTAATCATGTTAGTTACTTTTATTATTAATTGTTAGTTAAATATTGGACAACAAATATTAAACAAAAAGTTTCTCCTAAAATTTATTGCAAAACATAAATGTATAAAATAATATTACATATTGCCAGATTAATTAAATCAATTGAATAATATTATATATTATCAAAATAAATGAGTTAAATGATATTAAATGTTATCAAGATAAACAAGTTAAATAATATTATACATTATCAAAATAAATCAGTTAAGTAATATTATATGTTATCAAAATAAATCAGTTAAATATTCTATATTACTAAAAACAAATATAAACTAATTAATAAAACAAATATAAACTGTGACATTATACTTCACAGACTAATTCTAACATTCAGAAATATATAATATTGTTTCTATTAGACAATCATTAAAATTATCTCACAAATTAAGGAATTACAAAATATTCATGAAACAATATAAATATTAACACTTCACAATTTCACACAATATTATTGCTATCAACTTCCATTTTCTTTTGTAATACTTCTCGCCACTTAACAATTTGTAGCTCACATTTAACAAATTACAGTTTATATTTATTATTTATTAGAACCTAACTGACAGTTACTAATTTCCATATTATTGAATTACTAATCTGTACCGGATATTTAAAAACTACCAAAAAATTTGCATATAGCTCTACGCCCACTTTGAGAACCACTGACGCAATTATGATTAATTAATCCGTGTTGCAAACGACCGTTGATCAATCGACGAAATTGATACTTTCGAAATTCTTGAATTCCTTTCAATTAAAACCGAAGGATTTTTCTATTTCCCGCTCTTATAAGTGCACATAGTTGGCACCTCCTAGTGCAGTTTTTCGTTTCCTTTTAGTAGACAGTTTCACGTCTTTTAAGCGTAACCTAAAAATGGACCACTTGGCACGATCTTCAACGCACAGCAATCTTAAATATTAAAAATCATAAAGTAGTATATTAAATAAAAGCTTAAAGTAGTATTTTAAATAAAATCTTAAAGTAGTGTATTAAAAGTAATGTTAAGTGTATAAATAAGTATATATGTGCAATTATTAATTGCAAAATCTCTCCCTGAGATTCGCGTAAACAGATTATCTCGGCGTCGCAATTATTTATTCCGGAATCCAAGGCCTGAACCGCGAGGTACCGAAATCATTTGCGGCAAGGTTAAAAAACTTGGAAGAAAAGTGAATCGAGAAAAGTTTGCCGATATCTGTCCCGTAAATCGGTGGAACAGTGACAGTCTACCTACGCGTTCCTGAGGACCTTCACTGTAACAAGTACCGAGAACTCGTTTTGTCCTTCCGGGTTACCCGAGCCCTCTCACTTTCGTCGAACGACGACCTCGTGGTCGATTCTGTCCTGCGATAATCGAACAAATTCGAAACGAGATCGAAAAGACCTACAGGCTCACTCTGCTAACGTCACGACCTCGAATAACTCGTTAATCGATTGCGATCATTTTCAGACAAGTGTTCCTTGATTTTCGGAAACGTGTTATAATACATTGACTGCTATAGTGCAGTTTAATTTACCATATGAATCTGTGTTACTAAGAATTTATTTATCTAATTGGAAATATTTATGTTAACTTAGAACTGTGGATAGTGTAACAAAATATTGTGAACATATTTAGGTTAGTTAAGAATAAAAGTGTTTACGAAAATTTTCTGAAAATTCAGCGTGACGGTCAACGTGTTAAATATCAAGGTTTTATGATTTTTTTGAACTTTCATTTGAATACGGTCACTTTTACGTGGAGATATTTTACGCATTTAGTGTGAAGGGTGTAACATTTTGTAACAAAGTATTAAGAGAGGTGTTTAAAAATTATTAAATTTTAGTTATAGTTTAAACAATTATTTATTATTTTCAAGTTTCAGTTTTAATTTCACTGCTGCAGATTACTATGAATACAAGTTCTTAACCTAACTGTGAACAATGAGTTATTTTGACAGGTGTACGAATAATTGTTTTTTCGATATTTTCAATATTTTTTTTCGAATAGAATTATTACAACACTTATTTCCGTCGAATTTTTGAGGAATTCAGGAAATGCACTACTTATTTATCGATATATTAATTGTGATAAGATAATCGCTCTACTTTTCGGTCGATGACACAAATTCTATGTAAACACGATCTATTTGACTTTTGATGTTGTAATGTCAATATTAACGATTTATTACAATCGTTTATTAATATTTGAACTATTTTTATCATATTATTTTTATATTAAATTCTCGCGAAGTATAATGCAAATCTTTGACGATTAATAAATTGCGCGCGATTTTCAAACTCCCTCGCGTGACGGTACCGCCATTTTCTTTTACGCAACTGTGCATTGCTTTTAGCACTATCTAAACTTGATCACGGAAAGTTACTAATACAATTAATACTTTGACGGTTGCTGTCACGAAGTCGTGATTTTGAGTCTTAACTTTCTATTCTACTATTTCTACTTTACCTTTATGTAGTCTGTTAAATGTCAAATGCAATTAAAAAATTAATAGTTTTATAATGTAGGTGTCAATGAAATAAATATCTTAAGTATACTTTTCTTAGTAATATCTTTTAAGTATATTATTAAATAATGTGTGAAAAAATTAAAATATACAAACTGCATTGGTTTCAAAAAGTAATTCAATATTTATAGTAATATGTATTAAATACATATTAATATTAATTATATTAAATAAATATTAATTCTAGTAATATTAAGTATATATTAATACTAATATTAAATTAATATATTAATATTAAATATATATATAAATACTAATAATATTAAACACATATTAATACTAGTAATACTACATACATATTTACACTACTTATATGTTTTCGATTTCCCGCTTTTTTGAGTGCAGAATGTTAGCGCCTCCTAGTGCAGTTTTTCGTTTGTTTTAAGTAGATAGTGTCAGGCGTAACCTCGTAACGAAAGGTTCATTCCGCGCATGATCAACACGCAGTTATCTTCCTTAACAATCACCGTTTTTCCTAAAATATATTAAAAGTAATATCTAGTGTATAAATAAACAATATATGTGTCTAATTATTATTACAACATCTTTCATCAATACCAGTAACAGATGTGCTAACAGTGTTTAAAAATGTTCCTAAAATGGTGCGAATTAGAAAGTTAAAATTTTGCGTCAACAAACGGCAAATTCGCCTTTCTCAGACGAGTACAGTGAGTTTCAACATTCGGTTAGATAAATCTTGTGACCGAGGAAAGGATGATTCACGAGCACCTGTACCATCGTCACGTTTAATTCGAATCAAAACGTGCAGGTTAGCCGTGATATTAATCAAATCGTGACGGTGAAAACATCGATCGACCAAGTGAACTCTCTCGATCTTGAGTAACGATATCTGCAAAATGAGAAAAGATGCTAACGGACGTAGAATTTCAATAGCGTTTCGTTTTTCTCTTATGTTTTCACGTTTATGTGTGTGTTT